GCAGATGTCCTGGTTGCCATCACACATGCCGTTCCGCCCTATGGTGTGGTGGGCGTGAATTTGTATTTGGCTGACTTGTTGGAGGATTTGCTTAACTATCCGAATGCTTCGCCCGCTGCCAAGCAGGGCTTCAGCTATGCCTTTCTGCTGGATCGTGATACCGGCAATACGCTGGCTCATCCGGCATTCCCACGGCCGCTCATCCAGCGCGAACCGGCGTATCCAGTGAACATCGCTTATCTTGAGAATGCAACGGACTTTTCCAGCATCCTCAGGCGCATGCTGCAGGAGGAGCGCGGCAATGCCAGCACTGGCGTCTACTTGGGTCGCCAACAGCTTCTGCGCACCTATCACTGGCAATCCGTGCTGGGCATTTATGTGCTCTGTCTGGTGAGCACCGCCAGCATCAGCGGCGCTGCCGCTCACAATGCATCAGTGCCGCAGCAGCGCTACAATCGATTGGATGCCGTATCGAGCTATGAGTCTGGCTACTATGGCGACAGCATGGATATATTGTACCACCGTTTGGACTTGCTGCAAAATGCCGCCACTGGAGCGCCCGCAAATTGTCGCTACTTCAGGCAACTGGCCACGATGGGTGAGCTGGCAATGGGTTTCATTATAAATATATCGAAACCATAATCCTTTCATTCCTCTCCTTGGCAGATGCGCCCACTCTTTTTCTGAGCGCCGCCGCTTTTAATTCGCCCTTTGCATTCCTGCACAACAATCGACCGCGCACTCAGCTGCGTCAAGTTGAGTCCATCATGGCGTATTTGCGTGACTCCCGTGGCCTGTTCGCTAATCCCGGCCTGCGGCCACGTATACGGCACGAGGTTCTGGTCTTATATCAGACCATGCAACTGCTGCGGCGACGACATCAGGATTCGAGCGGCTCGTTGCGTGGCCACATTATCAGACGTTATATAGCCAGTGTCAGAATCGGACGCTGCAACGGTACTACGCCTTCAACACATCTCTGGCCACCATACTGAGCAATGTGGTGCATGGCGAGCGCACGAAATACGCCATCGCCCTGATCCGTGGCAGCAATCTGTTTGCGGCGGTGCTCAACTCCAGCTGCGATGGCGGCGCCTTCTGTCCGTGCAGCACCATCGATCGGGTCTGCCTCAACTGCAAGCGCATGGATCAGACGGACTGCGAGTGTCCCTGCGAATGCCCCATGCTGGCGAATAGCGATGCCAGAGATCTGGATGACTATACGAATTATACGCGACAATTTCCCTATTGTGCACCACCGAGCGAACATTTTCTGGCACTGCCACCCACAACACAGCTGCTGAGCATGTTGCCCAGCTGCACCGCCGTCGGCGGCGGAGGCAGCTGTGAGACGTTCGCCACACAGCGCGAATGCCTGGGAATAATGGGCTGTGAGTGGTGCCAACAGGATGTGGAGGGGAATACCTTCGCGACGGCCTTCTGCTCCTCGCAGGCGGGCTGCTTTAACGGTGTGCTGGCATCGCTGACGCCGTATGGAGAGTTGGATGAGCTGGAGATGCTGGCCGCGCATAATCCACAGCGGGAACAGCATGCGTACTCCGCCTTTGGGCCGCTTGGTGGTGCTATCGTTGTGCTTGCCATAGTGATAGGCTTTGCCATCTATTGCTATCGGCACAATCTGGATACCCAGGCACTGGAGCAGTTCTATGTGGATTCGGTGCAGGAGGAGAACTACGGTCTGCCGCTGTCCCGCTTCAATTTCGACGATTGCCAGGCGCACGATGAGCCGCCCATGGGTGGCTATGATCATGCTGCGGCCCAGCGTCAACTGATGCACGCTGCGGACATATCACCGTATCACATGTCCAGCGGCAGCAGCTACTATCGCCGGCCGCCCAACGGGGAGTCGGATCACGGCTATAGCACCATGACACCGCACGAGGATAGCTCCGATCAGCAGTGCTTTACGCTGGCGGAGCCGCTGCTGCTGCACGACAAGCGGCACAGCAAATCGGACACCATGTCCATATCAACATCCATATCGAGTCCCACAAACCGCCAGCAGTCCAATGCGCATCCCTATTTGAGCAATCAGCCGGCCAGCAAGACGGAGCGCTACAAGCAGCAGCCGCAGGCCACACCGTCGCCCTGTCGCGGCACAACGTCCGTGGTTTATGGCCAGACCACGCTGCCGCTGGATGCCGAGGAGCCGCGATCCCACTATATACTGGCGCCAGTGACCGTCCATCGGCACATGGAGACGGCCGAATCGTAGTCGATTGCAATTAATATTTAAGGAGTCCGCTTGTTTGCCAACTTGGTTATTTTGTGGATTAGTTCACAGAATCCGACAACTGATTCAAACTCCACTAAATGCCAGCCAATTTAATCTTTAAGTCGTTTATATTAACTACTTTGCCATTTTTATCCAGGTGCACGAACTGCGCGCGTGCACTGTAATTTATTGCAGAAAGTATTATTATGCAGCTACTTCCAATATTTTAAGCATTTACATATACATATATATGGATATATAGATATATATATATCTACGTTAAGCACTAAAACAACTAAATGTACTTATTATCAAGGTAACGAAACGACTCGAAAGAAAGAGTATACATTTTTTGTAATAGTTTTTAAGTGCATAAAGTTACTAATTATCGATTTTAGTTCGTAAATAATCAATATACTTTAAATAAAATGTTTGCAACAATTTTACACACAACAAAACCTTCCTAGCCTTGATTTAGAGCCAATTGTCTGTTAGCCGCGGCTACAGCTGTCG